CGTCCCGTGGTGGTGAGTGTTTTTTTATCACATCAGGATCTGTGAATTCGGGGCCAAGCGGAATCGAATCAGGAGGAGACGGCGGCGGTTTTCTTTGATTCGACATGTCTTCACGGCGGCCCCATAGGCCGTTTCCCCTCATGCACCTGACGAATATCTATCGCAAGCATTTCCGCAGTGATTATGCTGCACTCACGTATGAGAACTTCTCTTGGAATGTGAACATGTTAATAAGTGACTAGTCCCAAATTCTTATCTTTTGAATCTGGTGTAAACATTATTTCCCAAGGTTTTAACAACTTCTCTGCCTACCAGTCGTTATTTATGGGGGTCACTATACCGGCGACGACTTGCTATATTATAATATTAAAATTCAAAATAAAATTTATTTTGTAATAAACGTAATGCGGAGGGTTGACGTGAAAGCACCGACTTTTAACAACGAACATAAAAACAACCGAAAATGTTCACTACGTGTTAAAATTTCGGATATTTCTTTTCAGAAGATTTTCCCTAAAAACATGTCTTAACTGGTCCTAATCTCAGTGTCAAATTTCACATTGGCTTCTGGCTTCTAAGGGCCGTCTTTAAATAATTTACCACTAAAATATTTACAGCCCCTAAGTACTTAAGGACTTATCAAACAAATGCCGTGAAAATAAATAGAAAAGTCGTTATACTAATCGGATTGTTGTTCACAGAGGGTGGTAAAAAGTCAATTTGCATTACCTGGAATTTCTTTAAATTGTGGTTTTATCTGAAGTAAAAGTCGGGTCATCGGGTTACAAAATAAAATAAGATTTCTAATAATTGTTTTTCAACATATTTGTTTGTGCACGGGTGTTTTTAGAGATATTTGCTCTTGGATTTTTAATCTTTCACGGCACAGTTACCAGCAAATTCTTCAAATTATCTTCACAAGTCGCATCATCCAATGAGATATAAAGAAAAACAAACAGTCTAATAATTGAAGTTGAAATTATTTGTAAATGGACAAAATTTCACGATATGTTTGAAAGCCTTATTTTGTTATGAGATTTTTAATTAAATTATGTGTTTGTATCAGTATAACTAGTTCTAATGACCTTAAAAATTAAAAACAATGACGGCGTCTGATGCTACAACTCTTTTTCCATCTTTTTTTCAACTTCAGACGTGAAGAACGAACATAAACCGAAAAATCAAATTATTGGTTTGAACAATTGATACATATTCAGTAAAATGTTGAAAGTTCGTTATAATGAGAAGTTTTTAATTTTAGTTTTTAGCATTGTTGTAAAATTTTCTCTTAAAAACAAGGAAAATTTTTAGATAATTGTAGTTTATTTTTAATTAGACTTTAGATCATGACAACACTTTTTCTTAAGGTTGTTTGTTGGCTGTTGGAAACGATCGAAGGTAAAGTAAATAGACTTGCAACGATACTATTGTCATCATTATATGTGATGAAAAAAACGCTTGTAAATTTAGTGGTAGGATAAATGTACCAAATTTCTAATAATGGATCTGATGTTAAGTAATGGCGCCAAGAGGAATTTTCACGTGCAAAAAGCTTCATTCAAAATTTTCTTGACTCACTTCCTATGTTATTTAGAATGGCTTGCCAAATCGTTCGAATAGTTCTGAAACAAAACTCCTACGAGTAAATATTTGGAATGTTTATTTTTCAGTTACGGATCTTACCTATTTGGTAAAGCGCCAAGACGGCTTTCGTCAAAAACAATGTTGACATGTCGTAATTTTGACAATTTTAAGAATTTTTCCAAAAAAAATTGTTTGTAATGTGATGTCCATCTGTTGATGACTGTGTAAGACCCCTCACCGTAAAAATGTGCAGTGGTTAAAATAACTGTATTAAGTTGCAATGTTTTAATGTATCATCATCTCATTCTTCATGAGGAAGGTAAGCTCAAGCAGTTAAAGCATCAAGCATTAGCTTAATTACTTCCAGAGATAGTAGTTTTTTATGAGTCATCCCATCATCGTGGTATTACCGAAAATATTTAAAATTGCTTCAATTGTTCCGTACGTACATATAACGCAATTAAATATGATTTATTCTTTCAAAATAAGCGCATGGACGTTCACATAACACAAAAAGTACCTCCCAGAATTTAATCGGTCAATTAAGAGCAATAAAAAAGTAAATTATAATGGAAACGCTGTTGCGCTAAAACAAAGTAGTCGAACTAGCGATTGACATTGACAACATTCCCCGCCGACTGACCGTCTTGGACACACATCTTGCATGTGTTATGTAGATAATAACACATTTCGATAAAAAAATCGTGTTTTTTTCTCCCTGTTTTTATATTAGAAATCGCAACGAGAAACGAGCTGTTTCATTTATCTAATATGCTTGGGGATAATCGTACGGGTCATTCGCACTTCGTTACACGCTTTTTGCCTTCGAAGGCATTTAAATTGATTTGGACAGTGGTAACGAATCGAACGACGACAAAAAAGAGGGTGTCAAAGGAGGCGAGGCAAAAGTTTGACAAATTGCCACACGTCTCTCTTTCAGCATCAACCTCCCGCTAAGACCATGAGAAACGGACTGATTCTACTTTCTTGTATACTGATAATCACAACTGTTATAAATGCTTTTCGACCTTTTTCTATTCACTTTATTATTTATTATCTCTACGTCTGGGATCAATACACTAATGCAGTTGCGGTTTGGGAAAAAAACAACATTAAAAAAGACCACGTTAACAGTTTTTAATTGGTTTTAGAATGCCAATAAATACATATAAGAGTTTTTGGTGCTTTCCCACTTTATCGAATTCCATTTATGTCCATTTTATGATGATCATCTGTAAATGACAGGGATTTTTTTTCAACATTTTTCGTAATTACTTACTTATCCGTCTTGGTTTATTGTCTTGTTAGATGCAAATCTGATTTTCTTGATACCTGAGAGTTGATAGGGCAACAAGTCTGTTTGCCAAAGCATTAAGTATAATATTACTATTAAAATAGCACAGAAGCCCCTTGCACCATTTAATTGCCTGAAATTTTGTACCCATTAGCTGCAGTTATTTAATTAGCATTGTAGCCTGGGGCATCAACATTGACCTACGATTCGAATCATTTTTATCATCCTTCCTTCAAGTCACGATTATTTTGCTTTCACTTGCATCTTCGCATAAATCCCATTTTTTCGTATTCCTAAACTTTGTGAAAAATCCCAAACCCACACAATCATGTGGGTTGGAAGTATACAGAAATATCCCCTCGTCGATGCTATGCGTAAGAATAGGTTTTTCTGGTCGAATTCTGGTAAATGGTACATGACGATACCACTATTGTCATCAGTGATTGATCAGTCCGGAATTTTGAGCAAACTTATGCGTTTGCGATCTTACTTAAGTGGGACGCAGCGTTTTCCGTTTCCCCGAGAGAAAATATGCTTTGTCATTTGATAATCGTTGTGGCAGGTCCATAGGTTGAAAACGGTTCTAAATCCGTATTGCACAAGTACAAACAAATATACCCACAAGAAATCTTAGTCTATTACACACAAGGTCGAACACGAACAGTGAATCATTTATTCATTACCTAATTAACACACCTGCCATTTACTTGCAATAAAACCTATTGACTTGAAAGCAGGGATTCCCTATTCTTTTCGTAAACGCTCAACTCGTTGTAATTTGTTTAAACATTATAAATCCTACTATAAACATTCCAAGTGTGAATGCTTTTTGGCGCGTGCAGGTTTGGACTTGATTTCTTTCTTTCTTCTCACGCGCCAACGGAATTTGTTTGCATATATTATTTAAGTATCTATTTTCAATATTTTAAAATCTAAATGTTACGAATTCTGATTAAAAATTACGGTTCTAAAAATAAACAAATGATAAAGTTTGCTGTAATTGTTTACACCTAAGTTATATTTGCTGAAAGGGGCTAAATGTCAAAATTATACAATTACAACAAATACTTATATTTCGTGCGCATTAAATGATAATACGTTTGTTTACAGATAGTAAAAAGAGGTAATGAGTTTTTATTTTCATCTCTGTTAAATTAATCTCTGATGAGCAATTATTATTTCTCATTTACGTTTTTATCATCAGTTGACGGCAGATCTATGCAAATAATTATCTTGTTATTGTATATCCTTTGGTGTTGTGTAAAATTTTGTAATTTGATGTTGTTTGAGGTGTTTAACGTTTCTTGGAAATCTTCTAACTTTTCTTCTTACTATAAAGCAAGAAAGTTTTTTTAGATTCTTGATTTGTCATCCTATTATTTCGTAAATTTTTGTAAGAATGTCGTTGACCTTATTTTAAACTATTTTCGTCAATCGTAGAATTCACAAGGTATGGAATTTGAACTCTAAATGATTCACAAATTAACAAACGAAAATGCTGACTAGCGATCTGCGTGTTTATTAATATCACATTTTAGTCTTCTGTCGCAACTTAATAAAACAAAATTAAACAAATGTTTATTAATTAATTAAGATTTTGTTTACACTTTGAAAAAATCGTCCAGACATCTAGCAATTTGTTCTTGACTACCACAAATCTTCTCAAGTAAAAAAAAAAAAAACAAAAAAATTAAAAAACACTACATCTCCTTATTAATGGACCTTTCCAGTCACAAAGATCAATATTTTTACTGTACCTACCTATACCTACCTACTCACCCGTGCTTTCCCAACATAATCTAAATTCAAGACGAGATTTATTTTTAATCGACTGCTCTATAAAATTTTTAATGAACATCACTTGCACCATTGTACGTCAGACAAGGATATGGATTACATAAGTATATGAATGAAGATTTTATTTTAAATAAAGTTTGTTCGTGATTAAACAGCGGCTGACTTTTTTAAGTCAGATAGAATTACAGAAATGACGTTTGTCTCGCCTCGATTAACGCAGTTTCTCAATGCTGAGCATTGCGAAATTTCCCGAAATGTGGGGGTGGTTGTGACGTTTCGATTTCCGATAGATATCTGCTGATAAAAGCCAACCCATTGTGATAAGATATGAGGTGCGAGTCGCTGTACTTAGTCTAATCGAAAGATTGCGTGAAACAAGAAGTCTTGAGATATTTTGTATAAAACTTTGTGTGTATGGGATGGTGGTTGCAAATGTGCCTGTTGTCCGGTCAGATCTTGATTGCGCCACTGCGTGTGTGATTAATAATGACGAACTTAATTCTTGTGTATACCTCTGTGCTTATTTCTTAACATCGAGAGACATCAAACACCCGGAAATCGTAGTCGTCGATATTGGTGGGGGGATCTTATGAATGGTGTGAGGTGGAGTTTAACTGGGCACACCCTCCATAAATAGTTCGTTAGTTTACGCTTTGTCCACTAGCAGAATGTTGAATGTCTGACAGACGTACCGACACTGTCGGTCGGAGTCCGCGGCTGTCGACAGATTTGTAAACACACGTGAAGTTTATCCGGAGTCTTCTAGTCACCAGTGATCGCAGCCAGTGAAGAGTTTTCGGTGATTTCAACGCCGGCCGTAGCCGGTCGTAATTATTCGTAATTTTTTCGTTGTTTCGAATTCTTAATTTTTAAATTGTGAACGATGGAGATGTGTACTTCTCAAGGCCACGTTGTTGGGATGTTAGATCGTGATCAAAGGACCGCCAAAGTGTGCAGATTTGACAGGCACGTGGTGTTTGTGAAAGAATACGAAGATTCGCGGGATCAGACTGTATTAACGAGACGAAATAAAACGATTAGTCACCGTTCCGTTCCGGGAAGGACGAGTCCACAACACTCTTCGTGCAAAACCAGGAAAAATAGACACTTCTGGAAGAGTTTACACAGTAAGTCGAACACGGTTTACCACCGATTGATATGTATAACGATAGGCGGAGCGATCAACAGGTGGCCAATAGCGCGCGGCATTACCGGAACCGAGTCTCGGATCAACTATTCAATAAATCCATGGTTCAAAGCCATTTTTTCGCGCGCTCACTATACCTGTCTTAATTGGGGCAATGTGATTCACGAATTGTGATGCATCGGAAAGTTTGTTGACTCAAATCAATATTTGCCGCATAGTTTAACACGCGTGTTTCTCGAACAAGAAGTCGCCGCCATCACGTAGCACAACTCTAATTAATTTAAACAGTACAGATTTTTTTCAAACCCGTTTCAGAGTTATTACCGTCGTGCGGAGATAAAATGTTAGGTGATGTGCACCTGTGCGGTCATAATTTCGCAAAAATGTGGTAAATAGTTGGGAATGATACTACAAACGCGAATAGCTCTGTAATTATTGGCTATTATTGTTGAGCGGCAACGACAAATCACGATGCAAAAATTGACGAATTCGGTAAAACGGCCGTCTTGGCGGTTAATACCCGGAGCGTCCGAGAGGTCTCGTTCTCACGCTCTGGCGCCCTTCCCCGGGTATGTCCACAATCGCCATGTTTATCCAACAAGTGTCCAAATATTATAACACGTGTGTGTGTTCTTGCAGGATTAAAACACGCCCTAATCGTCGGAGCTTACCTAAGTCTCTTCACATTTCCCAGTATTCAATCGGCGCCGACGATACGAAACTCCAAGTCCATGTCGAGGGGAGACAACAAGCCCAAATGGTTCAATCCATGCGGTATGAGCGGCGTCAACGGTGCCACCCCTGAGCACCGCATGCCCGACATCCAACTCATCGACCAGATCCTTAACCAGGCTCAGATCGCCGAAGCCAGAGCCAAGATGTTCAAGGAAGAGTATGTAAGTATCGACCTTGGTGAAGCAGACGGTCTGACGCCAAACGCGGTCGCGACGCTGTACAGAGGAAGTGCAGGACACGTTCTCTGGTCCTTCTGGAATTGCACCCGCTTCCTCTTAATAAATTGATTATCGTCGAACAATAGTTAGCTATTAACGACGGAGGAAAACGGACACGATTTTACCGGATGTGACAAAGACGCAAAGTATTTGTATCCGATGGAACGAGAGGGCTTATACGCTCGTCCAAAGGCTGCAAAAGAGACGAAAAATATGATAGTGTGTAATCAGACATCAACGGACGGCATAATATAAAACCGATCGCGCATACTAATCGACTTGTAGTAATAATAAGCTGAGCCAGTTAATCATTCTTTCGAATAACGCAAGAAGTTTAATTCTCGGTTCGTCGAAGGGTTAAATTACTAAATTTGTGTTCTCCGAACTGCGATGAATTAATTGTCATTTTCTCATTACAGGTCGACAAAACATTCAACATGAAGGCGCACCAGCTGCACAATTATTACAAAGACAAAGATTATGACTGGCTCCCAACCAAGGAGATTCCCAAAAAATTGGATCAGACGGTACCTCAAGAACATCTAGATACTTTAGAGGTAACTACAATCATCATTTAAATTGGACAAAACGCTGACATTCGTATTAATTTCAGTTTAAACCGACTCTGACAACCGTCTACGGCTATCTTCAAAAATTTGCCGTGGGGATAGAACAGATCGTCTGGGATGAGGAAGACAGAGGTGGGCCTTTCAAATCCTCATTTGTTCAAACCGAAGACTATCTTCGTACTTTACTCTGCGAGATTTACACAGCCATCATCGAAAAAGAACTCACGGTCGAACAAAACGTCGATCGGGACATCATGGGGCCTGAATTCAGAAACATGGACAATACATCCATGAACATCCGAAACTGGATCATCTATAGAGATTATCTCAACATGCTCGAATATATCATACAAGTATTTCGTCACTTCAAAGCAAATATTGAATGAAGAATTATTTAAAAACATTTAATTTATTTTTTTAATTTAATTTATATAACTGTATTTACAAAAGAGAATATATATCTATATATTATCTAATAGTAAAACAAATTCTGTAGATATTAGGAACTGTGATATTAGACTTAATTTTTTAATACTGTTTAATTTTCTCTTTACCTCTCTAATGATGAAAACAAATATTATCTTCCTGCGGTTTGGTGACACTTTTGTGTCAACTCGTCGCTGCCGACCACCAAATTCAAAACAAATACTTAACTGTTGTCACGATATCAGTGGCGGAGTCACAACCTGACCTAAAACAATCCATTATTCACCCGATATTGATTTAACCAGTGGCCTTGACCATAACCTCATTAGCGGAATGTAAATTTTTCGGGAAAACACAGTCGCGATATTGACCTTAAAATGCGTCATGTAAATAAACATGAACGTGTTCCAAATTCTAATAACAGCGACTAAAAACATAACATCTTTAATAACGCACCTGAAACCGGTGGCTTACCGCGGTTTCCCAAAGATGGCGTAGGGCCGGGAAAACCAAACAGGTAAAATTTTTCGCCCATGCATATATTATTCAAAATTATTCCATAAGGTACATTCTTGCGAAGTGATTACCGATAATTTTCCTACACCTAAATTATTCCTTTTTCCCAAATTGCATGGGAATTACACAACAAAATTTTTTAGGTTGCTTATGGTGATAAGATATAAACACAAACTTAAACAAAAGAAAATTACCGCTTCAGTTGATGGGTTTTTCTAATACTCCTAATAGGAGTGTTCTAGTGATTCCCCGTCAATCGCAAAATTTGTTGAGAATTTACTATCATTGTTTTAAGGAATCAAAATGTGGGTGAACTGGATTTGGTGATGTGTTTTCTCATTGTTGGTATGTCATCCTGGCGTTTGCGTCAATATGTGGCTTTGATTGTTTTGCAAGTCTTTGAAGGCCTCTTTTTTGGTCAAAATATAAATTGCGTATTAATGAGTGCCGCCAGACGTCACAAACAGCGCAGAAATGCAAGATGGTTGGTACAAAATCGTGAAATATATCACGTTAGTCAAACACAAATTCGTACTCTATTTATAAATGACCTTGGTTCGAGGTAAACGAATCCATCAATCGGTGTACCTACCACAACAATTAGATTTTATGTGTGGTTATTAAAAGTGCAATGAAATCAATCGGAGCATAAACGGCAGTTGTACGTTTTGTCCCACGAGTTTTCCATAGACTCAAATCGGGTCAGAAGGGAGGCGTACGGCGATGTGGGGGGTTCATTGCATAAGACCAGTTCCGACTATCTCAAAGCCCGTGCAATTTTATAATAATTCAGAATCGTCTAATTGGTGTCATTAACTAAAAGAATAACCGTGTTCCATTAATGTCATTATCGGAGCCGACTTTATCAATATCCATCGTATGAGTGATGTGGGCCCGACCATTGCCAAGGTGATCTGTCAATGCCCGAATGCGTCATTCCGCGAAGAGACTACTCCGTTCCCACGAACTTGTTACCTATTCCGTGAAAATACCGATTCTTTCAAGCGAGTGCCATCCTACCTACCTTTGGCCCGCGATTCAAATAACTCGCTGTTGCCACATTCCTCTACTTTCCTCGCTTTCACAGACGAATCTTGACCTTCTCCAAGATCCAAGTGGCGATAAATGTCGATTTTTGGTGCGTCGCGACTTGACGTCACAGAAAAAGGATCTCTATCGATGACAAACACTTTTACTCGAATCGGCGGCCCACTTTCAAATATTTATGAACGTGTGAGAAGGTGGCGCCTACAGCAAAAATGGTTTATCATAAAAATGTGGAAATATTGCGCAATTTTCAATCTCAGATGACAACGATAAACTCGCTGGAATTTTGGTGGCACTGACAGTGGAGGAGTACGTCATCGATCCATAAAACTCGTCAGTGGACAGATGTTCACTCACATTTCAATCAAATAAATTGATCCTACAATAGTTACTTAAAACTACTTAAAACATTTCTTTTTAACTTAAACAGTTTTTGATTAGATTAATGTGCCGTGATATTCTTTAGATTTTAGTAGCACAAAACCATCAAATTGCTCAATAAGTTCCTTCCTCATTATTTGCGATTTTGAACCAATTTGAAAGAAAACCAATTTTTTTATCAGTCTCATTCGAGACTCAAATATCTATAGTAAACAGGAAATGACAAAATGAGTTATCTAGTACTTTTCGTGACCTATTTTTTTAATTTCAATGTTACGCATAGATAATATTAAAAAGGAAATAAATGTGCCAATTTCCTAAGAGTTTAAAATTGTTTGAGAAATAGTTTGGTTAATTTGTGTTAGAAATTGTCTTTGAGTGAGAGCGGGCTGTTTAATTGTCTTCTGCCTTAGGTGTGTATATCTTTCGAGTGGATGTTTCGTGAGATGCAGTAATTACGAGGTATCGATGTCGACATACGCCATCAAAGACTATTTGTCGTCGATGGAGCGTTCAAATATTTATTTATAAGTACCGTCTGAAGAACAAAGCGGTAACTTTCAAAGTCCATATTGGCATTTTGTAAAACATATTTCGGTAAAATTCATGTGCCAGTCCGATCGTCGCTGAAAAAAGGTATACGCATCGAGACAAAAAGATGCTAAAAGAAGATATCCGAAAACTAACAAATGTAAAATGCAAATAACTTACAAAACGAACACAGACTAAACCACAATCCAAATTTTTTATTGCATGTTAACATCAGAAACTACTCTACAAAAAAAACAACATAACTTTTACCTGTCGGTGTGGGACTAAAGACTCCCGAAGGTAAGAAAAACAGAATGCGATTCTGTGCTTTTCGAGACTCGCCTCAGATTGTGTTATCATCGGTGGACATCGCTGGAAGGATGCGGCCAAACTGGTCACGGGGTCACCGAGCACTCCATTCAGGATTCTACGCCTTCACACAAAAATTTTATCGCCAGACCAATCCCCATCACACAAAATTCCAAAATTATTATAATCACCATATATTTTCATAATCGGGATAGGCATCAACAAGCATTTAAATTAATTCTTATTAAAATGCCGAATAGGGACATTAGTTTTTTGTCCGTTTTATTTTTGGAAGATTCGCAGCTTCCTGTAAAGCAATGTCAAGAGGCATTTTCTTGATGACACAATTGAGGTAAGAGGCTTTCCAAATGCATTTTTTATAATTATAGAAATAAGAGTATGAACGATAAAACAAATAAATTACCTAAACAATTTTACATATTACAATGATATTTTGTAATTTGCAATCGGATTTTATCATAAACCACACACCCATCTTTTAAATTCATGAATGAATCGAATGTAAACAGATTGGATTTGATAATAATACATTGATAAGTGTTTTTGATAAGGTCGGCGCCAAATCGGAATTTCCCGTCAAAATCTGTTTTGACCGATGGAAAATCGCGTAATGGGAACCCAGACATGTTTTACAGTTAGTTCGCCACCTACCTTCATTGGTATTCAGGGTCTAATTGACTTTATAGCATTGAAAATCCCTCAATAGAATGCGAAATGTTATATATTGTCGGCACCTTTATAAGGATATTTGAACACATTATGGACGATTTCGATAGTGATTTATGACTTTAAAGATTGGGTGATAAAGCCATCCCATATCAAGTGAAAAGAAAAAAGAGATTATTTGGGCGAACAGGTTCGGTGTAGTCAAAGTATGGAAACAAAGACCAACCTTTCTGGGTTGGGGCGTTCCACCCCGTCCCTCAGGATAATCCTCAACAGTAAAGAAATTAACTGTTGACTTTAAAGCACTAATATATTGCACGTTGTAAATTACTGGATAATTTGTAACAAAGAGTGAAGTCAGTGGCCAAAATTGCTAATTTCGGATGCGTCTTCAGGTAGGTAGAAACGACCGAAATGAAAATTTGATTTATTGCCTTGTAAGAATAGTTTTAAAATCACATCATGCAACTCACATAACTTAGAGATTCGACTGCACTCGTTCAGACCATTGTTTGTTTTTCCCACCCGTCTGAGTGCAGCTTTGTGGATTTATATAGATTGCCATTTTATAAATTTAAAACAAAAACAATGATTGTTTTTTTCTACCAATTACAGTCACGCTAAAAGCGAAAATCGTTCTGTAAAAGTTGAAGAGATTTAAATAAATATCGATTCGATTTTTTTTTGTTAGGTATATTGTTCAAAACATTCAATATTTATAAACTTTTGACTAAATTAATTGCCAATTAATCATTTCGTGTACAAACAAGGCGAACTTATATAATTTTTAAGATGAATATAATAATAAAATTATCATAATGTTTATGTTAAAGTAATTATTTCTGATAATAATTAATTTGTTGTACAAGTTGTTTTCCTATTTGTTTTTTGTTTATAAAAGCGATAAGCAAAAATGGCAAATTGTTTATTTACCAATTTAATGGTGTTTCGAAAACATACAATTTGACAGTAGGATTTTCCAGCTGTAGTGTAGCTACTTATTACACAGTAATTGACTGTGCACGGAAATATGTGCTTTTATTTTAAAATACTTCTAGATTAATTTATTCAAAAGAGTTATTATCTGAAAATCACATTAACTTAAATTTGGTGGGCAAACAATACCTAATATTTTGACTGAATCTTCATCTTCACTTAAGCAGTTCTGGAGTTCTTAATTTTTTGGACAATAGCTGGGGTTGTGTTAATAGAAAATAGTGAAAATAGGTCCATTAGTACAACAAAGCTTTTGAGCTTACCTACGCCACTGCAAAGCCTGTCGAAACTCGGTTATGTGCGATCCTGAGATCCGTCTGTGGCGCTCTAGGGTGCGAAAGACCCTACAGGTCCGCGGTAGGTAAAAAGATGAATGGAAGTGCAGCACCGTCGCCGACACCCACTCAATGAATAGCTCCGGTGAATTGAGATGTCAGGAAATGCTCGACGTGAATTGGCGAACAATACGACTAGTAAATATTTCACCTCCTAGGAGGACCAATTCACATATTGTCCATTATCCGGGCAAGGAAAAGCAGACGCCACCGCGACTTCAACACAATAACATCCCAGCGCCTTTTAAACGGCCCTGCCCGAAAAAACACTTTATTATTGTTATTGTACACCTTCAGCCGGCGG